TATTCAGCACAGCAACAATATCTGCTGCGAGAATTTTGCTCGAATGTCAACGAAAATGGACTTGAAATTTGAAAAATTTTCCACTGAAATAACAATATCGTGAAAAATTTATGGAAATAAGAAATTATTTATGGAGATAAGAAATATCATATGGAAATTAGAAAATATAAAAATTTTGTTTAAATAAAATACATGATATTTAAGTTGTTTCTAAACTTTCAAAATTATGAATTATTTATTACACTATATAATTTTATACTATATATTATAATTTAAAAAGTAAGTATAGTAATGATGGACATATGCGTATTTTGCTAAATTATGCACAATACAAAATTTATTAATTTTCAAAACAAATTCTTCTATTTATTCATGCAGAAATTTTTATGAAATACTGAAAATTAAATTTATATGCATGCGCAGTCTTTCGTAATCGAAATATTTGGAACATAAATAGAAGACTGTTGTTTTTGTGCGAAGTGTCCTCGCGAAATGTCAACAGTTCACAGTTCACTATTCCCCAAGTGTTGCTGACTTAATTAAGCCAATTCACCTTCGGATAAACATTCCGTAATTAGATTTGCGACTCTAAGATTTCAGTCGTATCCTAAGGATTCGCAGAAGTTTCGTTTCTTGAAAAATTAAAAGACTGTTGAAGTTCTCGATCTTTATAATTATATTAGGTACCCTTGAATGAAGGAAAGCATAAATATAGCTACGGCAGAAAATTAAACATAATATCTAAAATATTAACATCTTTAATGATAAGGAACTAAAAAAAATATTTCAATTTTGAAGAATAACCATTCAAAAAATTTATTTAAATAATATAATAAATAATTCATTTATTATATAATGAAAATTGAAGATAATTATTATAATTAATGATTATACTAACACTATATGAATATATATCGAAATTAAAATTTTAAAAATTCTAAAATTATTTTAATCAAACTATTTAAATACCAAGTGATTTACTTTATTAAGCAATAGAAATTACAGGTAATCATTATGTTTAAAAACTATATTAATATATCATATGCATTGAAATAGTACTTTTGTATAATTGAAATTTAAACAGTCTTGAAATTTTTAATGAGCTATTTAAATACCACGTGAATCATTTTGTTACATAAAAGGAAGATAATTGGTACCCATATTTGAAACCTATATTATTAAACGTGCAATTAGATTTCAATGAAACTCCAAACTTTTCACTAAGCTATTCAATTATCACTTGACTTACTTTATCATACAATAAACAAACAAGCATTAGCACATCTAAAATCTACACAAATACTCCATATGTACACAAAAAATTGAATTCGATGCAATTCTCGACACCTTTTCGATACATCGAATACAAAAATAAATTAGTCTTCGTGTCACACAAATTGAAAAATGATATTTCTTGTGACACAGACAAACACCAAGCAGCCTCTTTCTATACTTTGTGCCCCGATATTAATTAAGTAAACGAGACATTTTACGTGCGTCATTTTAAAAACAAAATTCCCCTTTAGAAATTCCCTTTAGAGGTACCATCTATATAAAGGACCTTTTTATATTTCCCTTTCTTCTCGTACGTGGGTGCTCAGGCTGGAGCAGGTCGAGTTTCATCAAAGAAAATTGCTACTTTGATAAAGCCTCGTTTTTCACGTTTTCCTAACGCGCCATTCAAGGCATGAACTTGAACTAATCCAATTACGCTAATTTGACGACTCTCTTCATACGGTATTTCAATAAGGAAGATTCCTCGCCTCTTTCATGCCCATCTTTTTCCACGCTCCCTTAGATTCGAAGATTGGATATCATTGCTTGATCACGAGACTGATTGAATCTTAATTCATTCGCGACAAACGAACGAAAATTGTGGATCTTGTTATCGTAACGATACCTAATTTCTTTTGTAAATATCTGGAAAAATCGAGTGGTTGTTTAAGAACCAATTTTCAAGCTGGTTTTCCTTGGAAGTGACAATTTAGTTAGGTACTCGAGTACTCTTTGCCTTTGGAGGCAGCAGACGTTTAGGTCTGAGCGTGAGAGGTATTAAAACAGCTTTAACAACCGTGAAATAAGTTTTATTTATAGAATGACTTTTGTTTACAGGTATAATTAGCTGCTGTAAGATACGTGTTGGTTTTTAAATGGTTACTTTTCTATTTTGTAAGCATAGTCACCTTCTATTAGTCATTTTGACTGTGACGTTTTTGCTTTTGTATCGGTAAGCATAAGTTTTCGTTGGTATCGATACTACAACTACTAAATTAGTAAGTAGTCAAAGTAATTTGTCTCAAATTTCTAATTTTCTCTATTGCTGAAAACAATGTAGATGCTTTTGTCAAAATTAATATTGGTTATACTAGAAATACAAGTACAATTATATACAACTATTCATTTTCATTGTAATGTAATAATTATTATTAATTAATTATTATTATTTGTATTTAAGTACGCATTAAAAGCTGGTAGTTCTGGTATTAAGTATTACTGCAAGTGTTATATTTTGTATTCAAAATTTTATTGTACTAATTTTACTTTATACTATAAAATTCTATACCATAAAATTTTATACAAATATTAATGTTACATCATTAATAAGAAAATATTAATATCTTACTATTAATATTAATTATTATTACTATTAATATCTTAGTAACTTTAAATACATTATTAAAAATGTTATTCTCAAAGTATCCTGCTCAGAAAATATTCAGTTGTAGATCATTAATAAACAAAAATACGAAAGATTAATTCCGGAATATTCTTCACTCTGTACCATCATCCTTCTCACACCGGTATCAAAATGTAACTGGTCCACCCACTATAAATTTCTCTCATAGCAATTTACAACATCTCAATTCAACTGCAACAACATCCCAGTTTGCTGCTACTATAGACACTGCTATGATTACAACATATCAAGCTACAAAATCCAATTATGGTCACGTCTCTAAATTATTCCTTTCTCTGGACTGGTTCCTTTCCTTGTAACACAACCCCAGTGACACACAATGTTTCGCCGATACTAAACCTGTCTATCCCTGTCCTATACCTAAACAAATTATGCCCAGCTAACAATAATTCAAAGGATACGATATAAATAAACAAGCTCGTGCAATTACATGCTCGTCCGAGCAAAAGTCGATACCAATTCTGTCAAAACTACCTGAGCATGTTCAGCAACAGCAAAGGCAATTGTCCGAGAGCAGTCTGAACCACTTCGACTCTCCTGATGGTCCTATTGTTAAACGAGACCTATCGATCACAAAGAAGATACGCAAGTAGGCGATCGAATGAACGAGCCATGCTGTAACGGTTTATAGAACTTGTCACGGCCTGTATTGTACTTTCTATTGACCGACTAGACCCTGCTGGAAACATTCTTGAATAAGTCGGGACCACTTACAACCGTCTCCAGTCCTCTTTACCCAGCGGTTAACTTCGCGGTCAATTGCTCTCACAGTTTCCACCTCTTATTTTTAAACCCTTTCGACCGAGGAGCCATCTTATCCGAGAAGTTTGCCTGGCTACCATCAGAACCGGGGTTCAGAGGCTTTTTAGGTGTATACCTGCCCTGGAATCAGTGAAGCGCACCTAACGAGACCCCTAAAGTTTAATCACTCCCTTCACTGAACACCATATTCACGTTGTTTGCACGGATAATAAACTGTTAATAACTGGAAGACGTGCGTGGTGTCGTTGAATTATCCTTTCGTGATATTCGTATCTGGAACATTGCTATAGTAGGTAAAGAGATGGTAACGTTCTTTATTAGGATTACAATACTCGTTTTGCTCCAAGTTTGGTTGTGAATATGTACATCAAATTTTTATTTTCGAAGCTATATTTGTGGATTTTTGGGAGTTTTTAAGAAATTATGAATTATAGAGTTTTGAAGAGAAGAAAAATATTTTTGTATGATAATAATAATAGGTAATCATGTATGAGGTCTCGCCCTTATTTTTAGGGGAATTATATTTTGTAACACATCCCAATTGCGCTGATATAATTATTAAATTAAAATTATTGGAAGAACAATAGAATTTTAAACATATGTTAAGAAATTGGATAGTTTAATACTTATAATTAGGTTAATTTAATTTTCATAAAACGTTAAATGTAAAAATAAGGGTTTGGTGTTAAAGAAGATACTAATTGCAAGTTTAGATATTTTAAACATAATTGCTAAAATCATTTAAATAATTATTTTATTATCATATTATTACTATTTCAATTTTCATAAAATTCCTGCTCTTCAAAAGATAAAAATATGATTTATCATGATCTTTTTCTATAATTTTCATATGATGATTATCTTCATCCTTTCTGAAAACTGAACACGACATAGGGGAACTTAATGCAAGTGAAAGGCTTGGAATTAATAACACAAAAATGGCAGAAAACAGTCTATGTATTTTACGATGCTTAATTTTACTCTTCCGTTTTCTAAAATTCCTGACTTCAAAATTCCATGAAATATTTAAAAAATCTCTCGAAAAATCTTTCACCACGATTTTTCTTTGCTTCGTTATTTCACAAAAAATCTCGCAAGAACTCATACAAATTCTAAATAATGCTTAATTAAAATTAAATACTTTTTCAATGCATCAATTTTGAGAACTAAATCGTAACGCACAGGCAATTAAAAATTGCGCAAAATATCTTTCATAAGTATCCACTGTGATATTTCTCAAAAAATTCCTCCATAGTAATCTAATGATCTAATTAATAAAACACAAGACAATAACATTTTCAAATCTCTGACCCACAAGTGTCAATAAACTGGCCTCAAATCGAACTACATGCCAAATTAAAAACAAAGAAAGGAGATACTGCCCCCATTTTAAGAAACAGGGACCACCTTGGGCCCTCAGGGACACCTCCATCTTTGGTCCCTCCATCGTAACCGCAAATTTATTCGAAAACAGTCAACTATTTATCAAAAAAGAAACAAAAAAATAAGTATTCAAGGAAACACATTTTTCTCTACTTACTACGAGCAGATCCGAACGTCCTGTTGATCAAGGCGGAAGCAACGAGTCCGCATTATTCTCCGTCTTTCTCCCACCACCTCTCGCCACCCCCACCACACAGTGTGCAGGCCACGAGAGAGTAGCCTTTCGAAGCCTTTGCCGGTCACGCTTGTCCACGCGTTCTATATCTTCCTTCTTTTTCCCCGTACCTTTCACTCTTCCCTCTCTCTCCTCAGGTTGAACCGTCTCGCTCGCTCCCGCTGTCTCTTCCCTTCGATTACGGGGTTCGCACTACACCCGCGGGCCACAACACACGGTACCCATGGCGACGCGTTCTCTCGCCGTTTACGCGGCCTCTAACTCCCGGTGTCCTTCCGTCTCGAATCTACGAAAGGTTCCTGTATTTAATTCGTTTGCATCCACGAGTGTAAATATAATAGTATCGTAGAGGTCAGTACCCTTTCGGTGATTTATGTATGTATATATTTACGCGTAATATGTATCGTAGTAATAAATTATAGTAGGAATCGGGATATTTTAGTAGGGAAATAGTGCTATACAGCAGAGGTGGTCAACTTCGTTTTATATAGATGATCGATTATTTTCTTTCTTTTTCTTAAAAATGTGTTGTAATTTGCTTAGTAAAATCGTAACATTTAACACATTCGAGTCTTGTGCGTTAATATTTTATTAATGCATTTGCGTGTTGAAATCGTCTATTGTCTATTTTGTTATACAGTGTGAGTCGATAAGAACGATCATGCCAAGTGAGACATTCATAGATGAAAGTGATTAACTTCAGCTGTTAGGCTGTTTTATTTTAGTATTGACATATTGATGTGATGAGCTCGGGGGAGGGGGCACGTTAAAATTTCCATTATTATTGGAATATAATAATGAATTATTCAACAATATGGCAAAAGAAATAGTGTAAATTATTAATATTCTCCATTCAAAATTCTCAATTTATTTACATTGTTCAAATTTTCAAAAAATTGTTAGAATAAAAGAAATATAAATTTATAGAATGTATTGGTACCTATTAAAATAGCAAGTACTGTTTTGGTACTAGAATAGTACCAAACTTTATATATGTATATGTTAAAATAATATTATTATGAAATTATAAAGTTTAAATATATGCAGTAATAGAAGAAATTTAAATATATAAGTAGAGAATGGTTGCTAAAATGGGTAGATGCGAGAATAAAGGATGCTTGGTTAGAGGTATCAAAGAAGAGTGTTTGGATCGAATGATGAGGATTATTGTGTGAACGGAAGGTTCATGGCCACCTATGATTCTAGGTTGTTCTATAAGATGAAAGAAATTGAGAGACAGAAACTTAAAAATGATTCTATAAATCGAGGAGAATAAACAAAAGAAGAGAAAGAAAATTTAAAGGAAATTTTAAAAAGGAAAAAAGTACTTCTATCAATGAGTTCAAGTTTAAGGGTTGATAGATATATTGTATATTTATTAATTTATCATTATAATTATTATAATTATTATAATTTATTATATGTATTTATTAATTTAAAATCAATAGAACATAGTCATGACAAAGTGACTAAATTAATTAAATCAAATTAAAAATAATTGAACAGTATATACATCATAAAATGAACAATCGAAATATAATATTAATCAAAAACACATGATGGTAATGGAAAACTTTCCCTCTGCTGCTATGATAAATTTAAATTAATTTTTAACATAATGCATTAACCAATTATACGAATTTCTAGCAAATGCACTCGAAACATTGCATAATTCAAATTACTTTATAATTTCCTCTCTTTTATGATTTTATATACATATTTCACGCCTTGACCCTTCGCATTTCGCGAATTTTTGAATTCCATCGATCAACGATTCCAACACATTTTCATAGTAGAAACGAAAAAATAAAAATAAAAAATAAAAAAATAAAAACGAAACTGTGTAATATTTAAATAGAATATTTCCACAATAACTTGGCTCGTTTTCCCACTGACATTCATGATAACAAAGTGAAATGACAATTTGCAAGCTACCAATGTCACCATAATGCCACCATTAATGTGCAAAGGATTAATAGTACCAGATTTAAGACTCCACGTGTTCTATATATGAATAAATCAATGATCCACATAGATCTTGTCTAAGAGATAATTTGTTAGAACAATTCTTGAGTTTATTCCCATATATATTTATGTATGATTTTTATTACACCAATACGTATGAAACGACGAAATTTAATGAGCTGCAATAAATCCTCGACGCAATTTTTGCACTGAATACAGAAAGAGATAATGTACTCGTGACAAATATTTGCAGTTACCTATAAAATTCAAGGTACACTCACGTAGGAAGAGGAAATCGGGAAAGCAAATAATGAGATACATATACAGGAGCAAAATAGTAGTACGTGTTTTAATGGTCAAATAATGGAAAGAACTTGAATCGTTTGAAAAAGTAAAAAATATGAAAGACATACAGCAGATATTTCACGGGGGAAAAAAAGTAAATCGTAGACACTAGCATTTTTCAGGCTACATGGGTCTTTAATATTCGAGTGGTGGCATTAATGAAGAGAAAGTCTCGTGAAATGTCTTTCAATATATGTCTATCAATACTGATAAGGATCTAAGAGCAAAAGACTTTCTGTTAACCGCAAATTGAGTATTATTTTTTACATAATAATAGTATACAGAGCATCTAATAAATGAAGTCCAAGACTTGAAGAGATTATGATATTCACGTAGATGAACAAAAAATATCTAATAGATATCTAAACCAATGAAATTATCCGTAATATCGACAAAAAATGACTTCCTGAAAGTAAATGCAGTATAAACCTTTTTTACAATAAATATTTAATACATATAACCATCTTAATGCAATACAAAACTCACGTATATAAATCACATACTGATATCTCGAAATATTAGTTCTGAATCTCGTATCCTGTCATTTTGTCATAATTCTGCCATTATTTAGAGAAAATAAATAGATTAAGATTTTTAAGTAATCTCACATAAAAAGAAATAAATTCAAGAAATTCAAGTTAAATGACAACCTAAACCTAATGTATATCTAAATTAATTCCTGTATTTTCAATTAGGGTTTTCAATTGCGAAAGAATTCAATTATGATACGAAATATTTGTAAATAATTAAAATCAATTTTACGTCTAAAGCATTGATTGCAAACATCAATTACACATTTCTTATAACTGTCAGTGAATACTATAACCCTTCAAGTCTTGAACCTTACTTTTAAACACCTTGTATATTGCAATTACAATAACTATAACAGTTAATATTCTTACTCAAAATGGTTAAAATATTTTTTGAAATATTAATGTACAATTGAAATACTTCATACTTAATAAACTTTTTTCCAATATATTTTCTTAAATGTAATAACACATAAATAAGAAGTAAATAATAAATATGTAATAGTAAATGTGTATGTAATACCTAGATATACTCATATCATATATAATGCTACATATTTTATATTCACGAAATTGGATGTAAAGAAATGTTTAATGCAACGTGATTTGTGTCGCAGAAAATATTCGAGGCTGAAAGGGTTGAGGTCGCGACGTCGCGACGTCGCAGCGTCTAAAGCCGACTGCAGCCCCTGGTGCATCGCGACGAGGGTTAATTTTCGTGACGTAATCGAGTTATGGAAGTAGAAATTGTTCGGTAGGATGATACGACGCGTTTAGGTTCGGTGATTAGCGATTAGAGATAATCGCAATACAATTTTGCCAGTCGTTTAGGCGAGTAACTAGAGACGAATTTTTGTTTACAGTGATTGACACAAACGTTCTACGTCTGATTAAAATACCTACTAAAACTTCGATTATGAGCAAACGAATCTTCTCTTAATATCAGTAAGTATATTAGGAATTGTTGAAGGAACAGTGATGTGAATAATGATCTATAACGATGACAGTACTAAAATGAATTAGGTATTAAAACACGATTAAAAAAATTTTCCATTACTTTCGTCCTACTTCTGCTTCACCCATTTTTTAATTTTCATTCTTTTTATATCTTTTAACAATATTCATATTTGTCATACAGATAAACTAATATTTCTACTGCGATTGTTGTATACCATATGACTTATAAATTATATGTACTTTTCAAATTTGATTTTATTTACTTATCATTACACTGCTGTATTTTACTACCATATTACTGATATTGTAATGATTCTAAATGATCTGTGCTTTATTACCATTGCAATGATACTAATCGATCTACATTTTATTACCATTGTAACGGTACTGGACGATCTATATGTCCACAGGTAGGAATAATTGATTACTAATCCTTGAATCAGAGCAAGAAAGTCTAAACATTTCTAATTTTCTAATCTTCGTACGTAAAGACAATAATTACGGGTTATTATAGAGTTAAAGTATAAAATAATTTAAAATAATAAAGATAGGATTGCAATTTATATGCAATGAAAGGTATTACGTGTAATAATGATAAAAGAAATTTAAGGAAATACCTTAAATGTCGTTTGATACCTATGCTAATCGATTTATTACTGTCATCCAGTGCTATGTATGCGAATGGATTAAAATTAATGATGATTTATATTTAATAGGCTCGGTGCTGAACGGATTTTCATTAACTATTCACTAATGATACTATATGCTATGTGCTGTCAAATCATTTTCATACGAAATATATTTCCGTACTCTGCAGCTTTACATATATGTTTAACGCAAATTGCTATGAAATTCATTTTCAAAACCTTATGACTTTTAATTTATATGTGTTCCATGTAATATGTATATGTGAGTTATATACATTTTGAATCGACTGGAATTTGAATTGTGCAAAGTAAACGTATTTTAAAATAATATAGAATAATATAATATAGAAGAAATAAAAAATAAGTTCATTATCAAAACTATTAAGATACAAAACTATACTATCTTTTATTGTCCAATTAAGTATTAATCTACCAACTAATAAAAAAATAATACATTAATTAGAACTTTTTTTTGATGAAATTTTCTATAATTTATCATATGCATTACTAACACTTGTATCTTACTCTAGGTATGCTATTATTTTTAAAAGATCAATGTAACGATATTTTACAAATTTTATACCTGTTTAATTTTATACACACTCGTATCCTGCTCTAGGTACAGTATTGTTTTCAATTATTAATGTTTCAATTCATCTCGGGCATTTAATTTAAATGTTAAGAACAAGACAATGTTCGAATAATTTCTCGATTGACTATAGGTTTAATTATTATACCACGTTTATTGCAAGATCGTAACTCGCGATTTCAGGTAATTAAATACGAGGAACATTTCCTTTTATCGATTCCTATAGATAACTCGAGACTCACGTAGATAACTAATAACGAAACTGTTTTATCCAATCAAGACTGTAATTCGAGGTTTGTTTTTCGATTTACGCGCTACGTTAGGTGTAATATTTAGCAATTAGCTGTTACCATTAACTAGTTCAATTGCGAGAACAAGTGTCTGAATCTTCTTTCTTATCTTATTATTTTTGTTAAATATGGCGAGGAAAAATAAAAATGGAAATTGCAGATTACGCGTTCCATTTGTAACCTGTCATATTAATTCATAATTATAACCAATATTTGTATTAACAAATGAGATTAAATAATTCCTAGATAATATCGGAAATATTATCTCTTGACTGGTTATTGTTATCTTCGTTGAATAATCTGGTATACAATTTAGTACGACATTTGTAAATAATGACAACACGACTAAAACACCAGTCAGAAATAAAAAATTGTAAAAAATTAATCAAAATCTTTTTTTAATCTTTAAATTTACAGAATAAAATGAAATATATTGAGGATTATATGATTATATGAATAATGTATTATGCTTAATAGAAAAAAAAATTGAAATGTTTTATCTGATATCTTTTAGTTTGCTTTAATGCAAATGAATTATCTATTGATAACTATCTTTGAGTACCATGCTTGCACGATGACATCAGTAAAATGACAAATAATACCTAATACTAATCGAAGCTAATAAATAATATTTTGATCCGATTACAATTTAGACAAAAATGTCTCTTTTAAATCGATAGAATAAAAACGAAATAAAGGAAAAGATTATTTAACTTATCAATATCATAAATAATTATTAAATACTTATCATTATGAAACATATATGAAACAAAACATCAAACTAAATTGATAATCTGCTTTTCATAACAATTTATCAAAAATGCTACAGATATTCAAAATCCACAAAGTACGAAATATTAAAAATGCACGAAATAAAAATAAAGCATGAAGGATATTATAATATACATAAATTATATAAAACTGTTTAAAATTTCTTAGACTAGAAAATAATAAAATTTATATACATTATAGAAACCATTTTTAGATTCATTACCTCGTATAAAATATAAAAAAAATTTCTACATAAGACATAAAATATACAAAACTATTTAAACCTGATTGCAACACAAAAAATATTTAAATTTCAAAAAGTAAAACAAAATATACAAAAATATTCAAATTTATAAACTTATAAATTCCACAATCTACATCAAACATTTGACCTTCACAAAATACCATATAAAATATTTAAAAAAACTATTTAAGACTCATTACATTATAGAAAAAATAAAAGATCCACAAAGTAGATACATTTCAAAAATTTCCATACAATTCCGACATAAACAAGAAACCTGCTTCAATAATACCAAACCACTCAACAAAATATCTCCGTATTAAAAAATATCCAATTAACCCATGCACGAATCCCATAAATTCATTTATCATATTTCCGCAATCATATCTAATAATCGAAGCTATTTATCAATTTACCAATTTAATACATCTCAAAATATCAAATAAATCGAAAATCGTGTACACAAGACACACCGTGTTTGATCGAATGTTTAACCCCCAACAAATGCGCAATCGTAGCCACCACGATCAACCGCGCCCATTAATTATCGCAAGTCTGCTCGCAGTCCCTAAAACGTCCCTTTCCCATTTTCCCTAGGATGTTACTAGCCAGCGATATCCGAGCGAGAATGAAAGTTTTCTTTCGAGCTGACTTGTTGCTCGGCCTATTTAAATCCACGAATTTTCTTACTCGGCTAACCGCAGCTTCGTACACTAGAGGTAAACGATTCTTTCGTCGGTTATATACACGTGTTTGTTGAACGCGATCGTTGTGAAAGTCGTTATTATTACACCGTGGATCGCGAGCAGAGAAACGGCCGAGGCAACTTCGACGGACAAGCAGCTTAATTATCGAAGTTTGTCGCAATCGCCGGCTGAATTGAACAGAATTGCACGGCTGATTGTCAATCGTACTCGTCTGAGTAGCCAAGCGTTGGATTTCAGGCTAACAAGTGCCTATAGAGGGAAGAAGTCTCGTTCATACTCCTAGTTGGTAGGAGAATAACGACTAACAGCGGAAAGAATATTTTCCGTTCGAGAAAAAAAGTAAAAAGAGTTGAAAAAATTGATGAAGTATGATTTAAACGAGTTTTCGTATCGATACCTTGCTTTTCGATATGTTTGACAATGAACGTTCGTCACTTTATAAAATGTCAGAAGAAATTTTCGAAATTTTCATTTTATAGCACCAAACTATCATTAAATAGCGAATAAAGGTGAGAAAGTACTTTCTACAATGTATTTAGAATTATTTTCAAGGGAATAATTTAGTAACAAGTATATATAGGATTATTACGAAGAATCGATTTCAAATATCGCGCCAAAATTGCATTCGAAACAAATAAAATGGTAACGACTTATTCTGAAGTATTTACGAAGAAGGCTTTTCAAAAATCCCGCCAAGATTCGGTTCAATTGAACAGGACAGCAAGGAGTAGTTGAGAGAAAATAGCAAACAATCGTGACGTATAATCGAAGTCCTCAGACAACAAACGACGCGAAGCGAAAGTCGAGGCAACGACACGCGGCTGGCCGAAAAGCGACGATCGCGGTTTGGTTTGGGTTGCACAATGACTTTTTCACAGCTCCGTGGACCTTCGTAAAAACAGGTAATGCTAACCTTCGAATGTCTGTGATCGTCGGATGCAAACGAATTAACGATTCGTTGCTTTCGTCTCTTCCACGCGAGAAATGTCACTGGTCGCCTGTCATGTGCACACGTCAGTGTTACAGACTGTTTCGAGTTGGCGGAAATTTTCAAATTCACTACGGTTTAAAGCGCGAATGCAAAATGTCAACAACAATCACTGGCACGGATTCCTGAGTAGGTATGCGTCCGCGCATGCGCAGCGACACGTCGAGCGGCCGCTTGCCGATCGCGAGCCCGTGATAGCAATGCCAGGGATAATAGTGCTTTCTGAAATGTTTAGATTAAAAGAATCGTGTAGGAAATCGAGATTTTTCGAGATTTCAATGGAGAAGGAAAGATGAAAGGCGTATGGTTAGATTTAATGCTTGGGGAAAATCGTATTGACGGCGTAAAAAATCGTTTGACGTTACGAGTAGGAATTCGTTTGAAAGAAAGTTTAAGCATTTTCTAAGATGAGCGATGGTTGTAGATAATTTGCGCGGGGCAATTTTCTTTAGTTTTTTGCCATTGTGTTTCCTCCTTTTTGTCCGATCTATTTGGAGTAAAGGTACATATGTGATAATGTAATATACTAATATATTAGTATATTTATTAATGTATTATATAGATATACTGATGCATATACAAATATAATAGTATTTTTTGTAATAGTATTATAATAGTAAATTTCATATATGAATTTTACATATGATAATTAAATTAATTTTGTTTCAAATATATAGGCACACATAATTAATTCAGATTATTTCGTTAAGTTAATTAAAATTCGTATACAGGGTGTCCAATTTTAATTTATAAATGGACAATTTTCGGTAACTGCTGGCTATATAAAAAATGCTTCCAACCGAAATTGAGTGGTTTTGAGAAGACCACAAGATAACGTAATTACTATTTTTGTTGGAGGACAGTTCATTTCTTAAATGGAATCGCATAATTAATAAATATGAATCGGTTCATTATAAACGAAAAATACAAGACAATCTATGTACAAAATTTATTAGTCTACGAAATATTTAATTGCAAATATACGTAATTCATTTTGCAATTTTCATTTTCAAGTTAAATTCCGCCACCCTGTGTCCACAAAATGGACGGCGAAGAGAATTTTTCTACCAAATTTTCATCTATGACATTAATTATAACAAAATTGCAATTATATAGAGATTATTATTGTGAAATGTTACATCAAAATTGACACAATAATTACTGTCGAAATGTCAATGCACGTTTATTCGAATAATAATGAAGTTATTACAATTAACATTATTTGCATGCTCATTAAAAGTATACAATATACACGAAACTATGAAACTTGTTTAATTCTTTTAATACGTAATTTTCATTTGAGGCTTGGATAAAAATTGAAGGAAAGCATAATATCTATTTCTACCATGAGGGGCAACAGAAAACAACGGAAGGTGGAACGAAAAATTAATTAAATTCAAAATACTTGTGTCGTGGACAGCTACTTAAATAAGGTAAAAGTAAATTTTTATGCGAAGCGTTTATTAATTACGTGTCACGTCACGGACGTAATTTAATCACTTTCCGACCCGCAATTTTCATTACAAGGAAATGAATTCCCAAGCAAAATGTGTCCTTTCACAACCAAACTTTCTTTCCCTCGTAAATCCATCTACATAGTTGTTCCAACATGTAATTTTAAAATACACATTTCCACTGGTATCGCGGTTATTTTATAATTAACTTCAGAGTGGGAGCCATTTTATTTTCCTGGAAAATGTAGATAGTGAGAAGCAAGAACATGCGTTCCAAAAGTTATGGGCAAACGGCTCTTGCTCAGGTCGACGTGAAAAATTTTGCGAGTCTACTCGACAAACGTTGATACAGATTACAATGAGGACGAAGCTGCAAAAACGAGGACATAGAAAAAGTGTGTCAGAGTGCAGAAAAATTACAGTTTACATTACCAAAAAAGTTGCATTTCTTTTTTTAAGTTAGTATTTTCGAGGTAAAAGCATTTTCAGAAAAACGAGAATTATTTGTACGAGATTTGAGACTGTTGATCTAATGTTTAAATGATAAGAACGAAATATCAATGAAATTTTAGTAACTAATATATAAAGATAGTATTGGATTAATTTTTTCATTGTTATTGATTAGTATTGTGATTTAAATTCTAAAAATGATCATGAAATATATTCTACAGTTTAGGTAAATAGCTGCTTTAAATAATAAACACTATCATGCTGATTTTTCAACAGAAAATTTTCAAAATTAATTTACTCTTCCATTAATTTTTAAAATTACATATTATTCTACTTTATGGTATCGAAATTTAGAATTTCAAAGTATAAATAATGAAATATTGTTCATTTTGAGCAGAGACTTCTTAATTTAGTAACTAAGTTTTTAAAATTAAATATATCATTCTATATATCTATTTTTAATATTGGAATTGAGATTTCGAGGCTAAGAATAAAATATTTTGCAAATTAATTAGTTGCTCTGATTAGTAAAGTTTTCGTTTTAGTCTGAAATATTTTGTACAATTTTTTGCATGCAAGATACGTATTTATCTTGTTTTAGATTATTGAGATACATATGTATTGACTTATCGATAAATCGTTGTATCCAGCCATTCAGATTTTATTTAATTAAAGAAATAGGAATTCTCTTCACCAGTGAGAGATTAATTCTGGACCACGTATTGTGAACGAATAGCAATTTAAGTAAGTGCAATTTGCAAAACAGATTAAGTGCTTTTACTGACTATTCTTGCTTCCATCAGGCATTAATAATGGAAAATCGAAACGTTTCATATGGAAGAGCTATGTGCTTGGCGGTTGTTCTAATAAGTATGAATTTATGGTGAAGAGGATCTACATTGTACCAAAATTTTATTCCAGAACCGAGAAAAGAATTTTTCTCGTTAATTCAGTATGTTTAATTTATACTTTTATCTTCATTAGTATTAAACTATATTGAAATTGTTTGCAATGATTTTTTATACAAAAAAATTCGTAATTTTATTTTTAAATTACACAATACATGTTTCGAAATAAATGCTATCTTTTAATGACATTCAATTTTCTTTCTTAGTCATGAACACTTTGAGAATAATTACGAGAAGCCATTTAACATCAGGCTTGTTAAGAACTTGGTTTTTAAAATTATCGTTCCAAATAACCGGAAGTTAGAAATCGTTCCGATAATTACAGTACTCGAAGGTAAACTATTTAACTTGTTAAAAAATTACTTGTTTTTTTGTACAAGTATTGACCTTAGCTATACATTCAATTTATATAATCGTTCTCAACATTTTTCCACTGAACGTATATTTATATAAAGTTAAAATAAAAGCAAGGAATTAAATTTTAAGAACGTACCAGACTCGCCCACTTTTGTATGTAAATGTAGAAAAAGAAGAAATTGGGAAATTTTTTAAAAATATTTAAAGATATAATACAGGCACAGAAATTAGTAATTATTAATATTAGTAATTCTTAAAATGTATAATTTTTAACATTTTTAATTCTTGAGAATAGTAATTTTTATTTTTTTCATTAATAGTAATTTTCACTCTTGAAATGAATAATTTCTAATATTCTTAATTCTTGGAAGAAGTAATTTTTAATATTAGTAATTCTTAAAATGAGTAATTTTCAATATTCTTAATTTCTGAAAGAAGTAATTTTTAATATTCGTAATTCTTAAAATCAATAATTTTTAATATTTTTAATTCTCGAAAGAAGCGATTTTTAATATTAGTAATTCTTAAACTGAATAATTTGTAATATTAATAGTTTCTAAAATGAATAATTTTTTTGTATTTAAATGTTAATAGTAACAACATCTATTAAACTTTTAAGTTGGAATCCATTTTATAATTTTTACAACAATGAACCTCTGTTATTTCTCGATGGCGGCTGTATGCAATTATGACTTTTACCTCGCTGTTTGTAATACTTCCTTCGTCTCTTTCAACCCAAGTTTAATTTTCGTTAATGTTTGGGATCAAGGAACAACCTGGTTAACCGTCTCTAAGGAACTCTCTTTAAGTACTCGAGTAATTGATGTTGCACGTAGCATTGTACCATTATCTGCACTTGAACCAGGTAATCTTTAACTTTTGATCGGCGGTACAAACCGACCAGAAGCTTATGACTCATCTTAACATAGCAAACTGCGTGACTTCCGTTTAAACGGCACCAAAGGTTGAGCAAATATCCTGCAGAGACTATTCAATATTTTCGTTCGAATATAACATGCAAATCGAGTTAACCCTTAAACGCATAATCTTGTTATACAACGTACTCGCGCACATGTGTGACAGCCTCTAATGTATAAGAGACATACATAGAATTTATGCAAGGTAGGGTCCAATATATTCATATTATCAAGTTTCATCAGTGTTTTCATCTTACTATCGATTCATGAATATTGATTTCTTTTTCATTTTCAGTTTTTACTCTTCTCTTTCATATTGAAGAAATCATTACTGAGATATTCAAATGTACTCTAAATACAATATAATATATTAACTTACCATTACCTAGTAATTTTAAATCACGTTAAATAACCAAATAAATAAACATGAAGTACATATGTACTCACTTCTGGAATCCTACAATTTATTGTACTCGAGCACTAATTAATTCACTTATTTCTATATCACAATTACCTATTACATTTATCTATTTACATACTCGACAGACATATCTAGTCAAACCTTCCAAGCAATTGAATAAAAAATAGAAAGTGAGAAATAAAGAATATACAATAATATAAATAGGAAATAAACGAGCAATAATATATAACAGATAACAGATACCAAATTATAAATAAATAGCATACAGAAATGGATTACATAAATAATTTCTCAAATCGTTACATTGAAAACGTTTTAATACATATGGAAAAATCGCACAGTCGGAAGACGGAGAATTAAAGAAATAATATATGCGAACGAAGGGGAAGCCACGGTCTGCCGCCGTCGAAACGCGAAAGTGCGAAGGAGGATGCGCTTTTCCGACGTCGTGCGCGCTGCATCCGAACAGAACGGGAAACCCCCGCGCCACGGTTCACTACGGTACAAGGCTCAGCTCGTTACGTAGGGTGAGCCCGAAAATTGTGTTTCCGTAGCAGCGAACGAATTGCGGTAATAACGAGCACTGATTAACTTAGAATCCTTTCGC